TCTCACATGGCTTGTACTTGAAACTCGTGATGGATGCATGAAGAAAGATATTCTTTTGATGAAAAAAAAACATGAAGCAGAATGCAACATGTAAATAACTACAAATGTTGCTAACTTGTTCCTTATGTTGGCTATTGGAACAGATAATGCAGTACTTAATGGCGATTTTGAAGAAGGTCCATGGATGTTCAGGAATGCTTCCCTCGGCGTTTTGCTTCCAACCAACCTCGACGAGGAAACATCGTCACTACCTGGTTGGATAGTTGAATCAAATCGTGCAGTTCGGTACATTGATACATATCACTTCACAGTTCCAGAAGGGAAAAGAGCTATAGAATTGCTTTCAGGAAAAGAAGGGATTATATCCCAAATGGTTGAAACCAAGCCCAACAAGCCATATAGATTGACATTTTTGTTGGGCCATGCAGGGGACTCATGCAAGCAGCCACTGGCTGTTATGGCGTTCGCCGGTGATCAGGCCCAAAACATCCATTACACTCCCAATTCCAATTCTTCATTTCAGATTGCTAATCTGAATTTCACGGCTAAGGCGGACAGAACACGTGTCGCATTCTATAGTATCTATTACAACACAAGAAGTGATGATATGAGCTCTCTTTGTGGACCTGTTGTGGATGATGTGAGGGTTGAAGTATCAGGGTCTAGCACATTCAGGGTTTTGGGGTTCGGGTTTATGTTGTGGCTGTTAGTCTTAGTATTGGTTTAAATTGAATAGCTAGCTGGTTTACTCTATATATATGGTATCCAATGTTGTACTACAGCAGGGAGGTTCAGATCGGACACCACCCACGGCAAAAAAAGAAGTTAGCTGTATTAAATAGCAGGTATAACTGTATGTCTTCTCAAGTCCAATGTAGTATGTCTTGGTAATTTTGCAATCAAAATCTGAAAGTGCTTCCAGTTTATTAAGGTCAGTATTCTTGGGCTCCTTTATTCTCCTGTGGCGCTATGATAGATAATAGTACAACTACATTTCTCTTTGTCACCTTGGCTCTGTTTGCAGATTTCAAAATATTTCATCTATAATTAATCACTTAATAAGAGTAGTATTATTCGTCGAAGATCAAAGCTAATTTGTTACTCCATTTGAGTAATAAAAGTAAGTCAATTCAATTTCAGTCAAGGAGATATGTAATTTCTATTGAGTACTACTTGGCAGAAATTTGATCATTTCCGCCGAATAGACACCTTCTTCACGAATGCGTCTCTGCACCTGTTGAAACACCAACTCATTAGCTATAAATTCAGGTTTTGTCTTAATTTGAAGAAAGGGGAGAACATGACTGGAATGTGGTGCTAAAGAACATGTGACAAGATCGTGAGCAAGATTTGGACCATTGCTCCAAGATCTTGGGTTTGAGCTATAAAGACTTGCCCACATCCTTAAAACCTTGCTTCCTCTATCTATTCTGCACTTTTCCCGGAGGACTATGAAATTCCTGTATTCGAATAGATTAAAGTGTGGGTAGCTGAGAAATTCATAAGCCGAAGAGTAGAATTGCATTTGGAAGATGGAACAACTCCGACATCTCCAAAGAGGTGCCCTGTCTTTGTTTGTTCGATTCTCTGTTAATTATTGGGGTTTTGAAGAATCTAATATAGTAACAAGGCACTACCCCGTTGAAGTCAATCAAACATCCAAACTTTGGAGACAATGGATATATGCTACTGGAACCCCAAGTTTATGCAAGGTTGGTGCTCATCTCTGGTGTCAAACTATGAGCACGTTAAGGTTTCGATATTTCTAAACGCACCTTTAAACTCGCTGTATTGATTCTTCGCACATGTTAGAAATGACGTTGTTCAATAATTGCCTAAATATATACCTTTTTCAAGCAATACACACTAAATAAGTACAATCAATTGAGAAAATTCAACGGCAAATTTATATTAAACGCAACAAAAAATCATCCTCCAAGATGTTTAATCAAACTCTAGATAAAAAATTTAAGTTACTCATAATTGTATGCGTAACTACAATATTAGAATTCAACACCAATAATAGAAAAAGGAAGAAGAAAGATAAAAACTAGTTTTCGGATCTTCTCCTTGCTCCTTGCTTGTTCTTGCCTTCAAAGATGTTGTGTAACCCTTAATAAGTCATTTTTTGATATATTTATATTCCTTAGCATTTGTATGGGTGGAACTAATCATTCCATTCTCGGATAGGAAAGATGGAATCTGCGTCGCGCATCTATAGAAGCAGACTTAGTTTTTGATTTTCTTCCATTTCGCGAGGCGATCCGTGCCTTTGCTTCATTTCACTGTTTTGTGAATGCACTTGTCTCTTTTCGCGAGAATAGACGAGCTTCCAATTCTTCCGTCCTTTGCTTTTTTGCAACAAATTGACGTATTTTGATCCCTTATCATCCGAACTCACTCTTGCACACAAGAAACGCGTAAGGTGTATATTTCACTTCAAAAACCATGTAATCTCCAACAACAACAACAACAACAACAACAACCCAGTGTAATCCCACAAGTGGGTAATCTCCCAAAATTCTTATATAACTAATTCCTTCATAATTAAATCATGCATAACAAAACCGTACATAACTAAACATGCTATTTACATAACTAAACATGCTATTTGTATATCATGCCTCTTTACAATTTGTAATTTAAGAAAATAATTTTTTTTAATCTCTTATGTGTAAAAGACTGATCTTTATGTGTAAAAATAATTCTCTCATGTGTAAAAAAAGAGGTAGAGTCATAAAATTAAAAGCAATTATAAAGAGCCACAAAACCAATTGATCCACATAACTAAATCATGCATAATTAATTTCTATATAACTATATTATTAATACCTGCATAATTCTAACCGACAACCAAATGACCCCTCAATGGCTAGGTTCTTAAGTCATCCATCCTGACACTTTTTAAAGTTGAAAGTTTGACATCCACAATGGCATGTAGCAGAAGCAAAATTTAAATATTTATATTAAGGGTAACATTGTTTACTTTTATTAAATGTAGTACGTAATACAATTTTGAAGTGATAAATTCTCTTCTTTTTAGGAGTTAGAAAGAATCGCCCACGATGTTTCCCAATGCCTCAAGAGAGATTACGCTCCTTGTAGAGGTGATAATTTGGATGTTTGGGTTGAAAACAAGTCACGACAACCTAAGCTACGGTTTTGTACTTAGCTTAAATGGACTGGAAATGCTCATTAAATCCTTCTAACCACTTCTTAAAAAGATCACTTCCTCAACTACATTGTGCACGGTAGTCATTTGTAAAATATGACCTACTGTTGCATTAATTATTACTCCCTCCGTTCACTTTTACTTATCTACTATATTTTTATTTTTATTTGTCTATTATATTAAATCAAGAGAAAGACAATCTTTTTTCCCCTGTTTTACGCTTGTAATTAATTGCTCATTTTCAAAATAATTTGCCAAGACTTTTTCAAATGCTATCATTATTAGGGGTTATGTAATAAAATAAATACTACAATTATTATTTTTTAAGGGGCGTAAAAAGTCCAAAGTACATAAGTAAAAGTGAACGGAGGGAGTACATTAGTACGGATAAATTGATCAATTGTAATTCTTCTTACATTATTTTTATATAGGTTAAATATATTGTTACAAAAAAACTCAAAGTAAGGAAGTAAGCATAATATTATGTTCATCAAATCCCTCTAAACACCAAGGGGTCGTTTGGTTGGATGCATTAGATAAAATAATGCTTACATTAGCTTTGTGTATTAATAATACCTTGTTTGGTAGACATTTTGAACTTATGCATTAGTTATGCAAGCATTAGTTACACATCCTATTTGGTATTATCTTATGCATAACTAATGCATAGAAAACCATGGTATTAGCAATGCAATGAGTTTTAATGCATGCATTAGCTTAGTTAAAGACAAAATTGTCCTTCAAATTTATGCTTGATTAAAATATGCTAGTTATTATATTAATGCAAGTTTAAAATAATTCAAATAGTGGGAAATAAAATTATATCTCTAGTAAATAAATAAATACTTAGCATATTTCCTTTTTTATAAATAAATATTTAGTTCTATATTACAATATAGGTAGAAAAATCAAATAATTTTTTAAACTTTTTCATATAAAAATATTTCTCAACATATGTTTCTTTTAAAAAGTTTTAGAGTGATGGACTGGTTTTGAGGGTATTTTTGTAAACAAGCAATTCTTTAAGAAATTGTGTAATGCTTTAATACATCAAACCAAACAATGGATAAGAAATATGTCAGCATAACTAATACCAGCATAACTAATGCAAGCATAACTAATACCAACATTATTAATACACCATATTCAACATTATTCTTATGCACCCTACCAAACGACCCCTAAGGGGTCCTTCGGTTCAAGTAATGTAGGGAATAATACTGTATAGATTGTAAGTAAGGATTAGAATGCTAATAATGCACGGGGTTGGGATTAAAATATATATTCTTTTACCATTTTTTTTATAAAAAAATTCTAATACATGGGGTTATTTTTGTTATTGTAATCGCTTATTTTATTTTCTATCTCCGCATAAAATAATATATAAATTCTTTGTACCAAACATTACATTGCCAATTTTTTTTTTTTTTATGCAACGCAAATATCATAATTACCTTATAATTGCAGCCGGACGATTCACTAAGAAATCACTTTGTCAAGTCTAAACTACGTTAGGCATAGATCTACTGTGCATTAGTTCATTAGTAAAGATACATTATGTAGTTGTAATTTTTGTATTTCTAACAAATAAGTTAAAATAATTATTACAACAAAAAAAAAAAAAAACTCGAAATCAGGAAGGTAAGCAAGTATATATCATGAAAATGATTAACCTGTTACATCTGTTTGAAAGCTGAACTAAATTGACTAAATGATTCACTGAGAGTAACCAAAGTAAGAAAGGAAAAAAAAAGAGTGAAAAAAAAAAGGAAAAAAAAGTCCTTTCGTCTGAATTCATCTTTCCCTATATATACTTGCCGATTACCAGGGCGTTCTTTCGAGAGATTCAGGAGAAGAAGAATAACAAGGAAACTAAGGACGGAGAAGAAGAAGAATAATGGATTTTCTCCTTTAACCTTTCAGTTTTCCAAATAACTTCGCTCCTCTCTCTCCTCTTAACAAATATGGAAGCAGACGGTGAAGGAGTAGTCCCAGTACCTTCCCACTCCCACAGCGTTTCATCTCCACCGCATGATGATGATCATCCTGATTTTTCACCCGTTGGATCGCCTGAGTCTCACTTCATTGACGATCTTTCTCAGCCGTCTGATCAACACCACGCCCAAGTCACCGCCACTCTCCTCACCGACGATCTTCGTAACAAGATCGTCAAGCAGGTTTCTTTTTTCATATGGGTTCTTGCTTTCTTGGTGTTTTTTTTTATGTACTGGGGTGTTTTGTTTTTGGGTGATTTATTCAGCTTTAGGGTTAGTCAAGCTAAAAGGTCAAGACCTGGAGTGAAGTTTAGTCAGTTATATTGATGATTTGCAATTGGATGGGCGATATGCTTTTGAAGTTTGATTCTTTCTCTAAATGTAGATATGTTGACAGTGAAGTTATTCAATTGGATTGATGTGGTTGGTCGGTATGTGTTTTAATATGATTCTTGTAGTTCTTGAGACTTGAATTCTTTTGCTAAGTTAGGGTTTTTGAATTAGCTGATTAATATTTAAAAGTTAGAAATATTTGCTACGTCAGATAGAAACTGTAGAGTTATAGATTGGGAATTGCTTCATCTAATCTGAGACTTCCGCATTTGATTTTACAAACAACAACCACCCAGTATAATCCTACTTAGTGGGGTCTGGGGAGGGTAGTGTGTACGCAGACCTTACCCCTACCCTTCTAAATAGACCCCCGGCATCCTTCACTCCCCACCTTGCTCTTGGGGAGACTCGAACTCACAACCTCTTGGTTGGAAGTGGAGGTTGCTTACCATCAGAGCAACCCCTCTTGTCACAACCCCGCATTTGATTTTGATAATAAAAATTTGATTCCAAGTTTAGTTCTTTATCGTTAGATGTCCAAGATCACATATGGTTCTTGATATATGAACAGAACTTGAGAAAAGTTTGAAATTTCTAAGTTGTTTGAATATTATAGTTTTGTAAGCTATTCATTTCTCGTAATTCTGCAGCATATTACTGAAACTTGCAAATGAGCTAAGTATATGATAATGCTTGGAGTGGAACTTATAATTTTCTTGTGCAACTGTAAACCCCGGAAAAGAGCCTACGAACAAAGTGGTAAATTGTGCACTATCTTGAATTGTCTGTACTGTAAACTGATATTTCTATGACTCTTTGGTGAATTTTCTGGACTTCCGTATGATTTCTGTAAAAGATTTTCTGCATCTATCAGAATGGATAGCAAATGCATGATTTCACTGTCTTGCAGAAACCTTTCTTTAGCAAATGCATTTGTTTTCTCAGATACATACTTTTGTATTCCCATATGAGCATTTGGCTGTGCACAACCTTCAGATATTAGAGTTTAGCAATAACTCTAGCCTTTTACTATTCCTTGGTGGCTATATCTTTGCTGCCTGTCTTAGTGGCTAAATTAGTAGTATTAAAAAGCATATAATTTCTACTACATGGTTGTTTTTATTATAAAAGCATGAACGAAGAAAGCATGTCCCTGAAATTTTCTGTGTCTTGCAGGTTGAGTATTACTTCAGCGATGAAAATTTGCCTACGGACAAGTTTCTGTTGAAATATGTGACGAGAGACAAGGAAGGTTTTGGTAAGTATTGGAGCGTATTTATTTATTTATGATGAGGAAGGATCTCATACTGCCTTCATGTTGCTTTCCTACCCCCCTTTCTGTGTTCACCCATTCTTGAAACTGTTTTGGGGTCTGTATGTTTTATATCCTCTAGTTTCTCTCCTATACCACTGCACTCCACTGCCTTCTTATATCTTTACTTGTTACCTTATTTTCCACTTATTTTTCAAAGCTATAAATACCCTAAGTCTTTCATTAACAAGACACGAACAATAGTTCAGAACACACACACACACATTCAAACTCTCTCTTCTTTTTTCTACACCCATTCTTGAAACTGTTTTGGGGTCTGTATGCTTTATATCCTCTAGTTTCTCTCCTATACCGCTGCACTCCGCTGCCTTCTTATATCTTAAAATCTCAACTGAATGGCTGTATCTTGCAGTCCCTGTGAAAGTAATTGCTTCTTTTAGAAAAGTCAAGAAGCTCACGAAGGACACAGCAATAATAGCAGCTGCACTTAAGGAATCTTCTCTTCTTGTAAGTCTAACTGCTTCTCATTGACTATGAAGAATGTTGCTTTGTCCTCCTTTTAGTACCTTTTGTCTTTCTACAAATATTCCTAGGTTATTAACGTCTTTCATTCTCTTTGCTCTTTTTTTCTTATTCTGGAGGTTGTAAGTTCTGATGGGAGAAAGGTGAAGCGACTTCATCCTCTTCCATTAAGTGAGATTATAGATCCCAAGGTATTGCTCTACTTTTACAGCAACTTGATAAGTATCATCTAGACTGTAGTTGGCAACGAAGTTATCCTTCTACTTACCATGTTCTAGGTTTGTACCGTATTGGTGGAAAATTTACCCGAGGATCATTCTGTGGATAACCTTCGGCGCATATTTGGACAGGCTGGGAAGTATGTTTCTTTTCCCTTTCTTACTCTATTTTCTTTTTGATTGTTATTATTTTCTTAAAAGCAATGGTCTTAAGAAATTTGGACTTCCAGTGTAAAGCATATTACTGTACGTGATCCACACACTGAAAGAGATTCGCGAAAATGCACAACTGCAGAGAAGCTACTCAGTGGTAAGGTATGCAATTACAAATTCTACATCAGAGCATCTGAAAATTTCTAAGACCTGACTGGTCTGAAGCATGGGGTGGGTCTCAAAAGATTTGACATCTATAGCTTCATGTTGAGTGATGAAATGCTTACATTTGGAATTTCAGTTTTCCCTCCTGTTCATGAGAAATGTCATTGCTTTCGAGGTTCCAATTTGCTAAGCTGCTTGTGTTTGCATCTAACTCATTGAAGGATATATGAGAAGTTTTTGAAGTGGGCTGCAGCTTCTTTCTTCACACATGCTTTGGACATTGATTGATTCCTTTTTTTTTTGTTTCTCATTGTAGTTGCATGCTCTTGTGGAATATAACACCGTGGAAGCTGCTGAAAAAGCTGTGAGTGTGAAGAAAGGTTCTTATTTCTAGTTTATTTTGGCATTGGCATTTCAAAAAAGCTGATGGTGTTCATTTTGGTGGTGGCTGTTTCAGGTGGCCATTTTGAATGATGAACAGGATTGGAGATTTGGCTTGCGAGTCAAGCTTCTCAAGAAAACAGTAACCAATCTGTCACCTTGTTTTCTTTTCCCTATACACTGGCTAATGTCGTCATTGATGTATTGCAGTAACATATTATGTCAATCTTTTCAGAACAAACCTGGCCAAAATAAGAAAGGATGGAGAGATCCAGATTCTGATAGGAATATGAATATCCAAGCATCTGGTCAGGCAGTTAATGAAGAATACCATTCAAGTGAGCACCGTGTTCTTCAGAACAAGCCTGGCCAAAGTAAGAAAGGCAGGAGCGATCCAGATTCTGATAGGAATACCACTATCCAAGCATCTGATCTGGCAGTTAATGAGGAGCACCATTCAAATGAGCATCATGTTGATTCACCAGACGAAGAGGTTAATCTTAATCTCGTTTGCAATCTTTAGATTTATGTCCAAATGTAGTTGCTTATTAGTAGTGTTTTGGAGTTTGTGTTTAGAAAACATGAGTAAAGGTGTGACGAGACAAAGGAGGAACACTGCTCGATAATTCATATTTCTTATTTTTACTAAACATACCTTAAAAAGTACGGGTATAAAGGAAAAATAAAATAAGAAAAAAGTAGATGAAAAATGAGTGCTAAAAGTCAGGATGTTACTGTTGGAAATCAGTACAAGAATTAAGAATGTAGTTTAATATTCTTGATGATCATGTCAAAATGATTAATAATCCCAATAATAAAAACTTACTTTGTTTCGTTAGCTTAAAACTCCTATTTAAAGAGCCTTCTTATAAGTTGTTTTGCCGTTATCTGCCAAAAAGATTGTTCTCCTCCTCTTCTTCCACATAGTATTAAAACCTCCTTTATGATGTAGCCACTTCTTTGATGATCATTTGGTGGCACCATGTCTCTTACCAGTGGCCATACTGATAACACTGCCTATCTTGGTACAAGTTGGCCATTCTTCGAATGAATTCTTTAGCACTTATTCTGGTTACTGATCTAGCACTTTTCTGGTTATTCTTCAGCTACCAATTTAACTTTGTAAGTGCTGTCTTGGAGACTTGCCATATCTCTTCTGTTTTGGAGACTTGCCATATCTCCTCTGTTTCGAGGACTTGCCATATCTCTTCTGTTTTGGAGACTTGCCATATCTCTTCTGTTTCGAGGACTTGCCATATTTCTTAAAAGAATATAACAGAAATCTAAATTTATGCTGAAAATAGAGAGTGGACAAGAGGAAAAAATACTTGAAAAAAAGAGAGGAAATTAGGGGTAAATAACATGTGGCAACGCATGGAAAAGTCCCCTGTTCTCATTTGGTTATATCTATCACATCACCACTCAGGTTTGTATTAGATACATTTTGAACAAACAGGGTAGTATTAGGTTGCCTGCAAAATATAAGTTTTAACTGATAATTCGAACTAGTTCAGGGGAGGAATTTATGCATTCTTCCAAATGTGAAATTTCCTTCATACCAACACATCTGCCAAAGGTGTTTAAAGTGGATTATTCTTGAAAACTAAGTATGAAAGAATGGGAGAACAAAGAGTTTAGATGTGCAGACTAGCTTAATTGTGTAGGAAAAGGGAAAAAGGAAAGGAGTAGCATAGTCACCTTCAAGCAAAAAGGTAAAACAATACCCTCTTTTTGGCTCCCTCTCTTTTCCCGATTATGTTATGCTTATCCACCAATCATTCTAGTGCCAGTCCTGTTTCTTTTCCGTTGTGCCATTTGTCAAACCAGCTGACCTGTCATCTTATGCTGTACACATGACAAATAAATTTGGCCGGCCAAAGGCGGATCCAGGATTTAAAGTTTATGGGTTTCTACAATGACCTCAAATTAATATACTATAATAACTGGGTTCACAACAAATATTTATAGATATTTAGTGGATTTTTAATACATACACAAGGTCCGTGCAAAAGCTACTAGGTTCCGGTGGACCCGTACCTTCCACTCGGGATCCACCACTGGCCAACTGCCATGCTCATTGATAGCTATAGTAAAACTCTGCAGTTTATGGTTTCTTGAGGATCAATAAAAGCAAAATTTCAGGAGTTGCGGAGTACGTTTGCTTTCAATGTTTGTTGATATATGTATATTTTTTCTGCATTGCAGGAGGGAGACCATCGATCAAAGGAGACTGTTGGAGAGCATGCACAAAAGGAGAAAAATGAGCATAGGGTGCAAACCAGAAATCGAGGCCGTGGAAGAAGAAACAAGCGTGGCACAAACGGACATGGTAATTTGACCGAGGACACTACACTTACGTTCTCTCTTGCTTCTACTTATTTTCTTGATGTTGATCTTATTGTTGTTTAAACATCACCAGGCCATGGCACTACTTCTTACAATCATGCGGTTGAACCATCGAAACCTCCTCCTGGCCCAAGAATGCCTGATGGAACCAGAGGGTTTGCTATGGGTCGAGGCCGACCTGTTTCTTCATCTCCAAGCTAATGGTGTTTCCTCAAATGTTTGTGGATTTTGTTGCTATGTTGTCGTTGAAAAATGCTTGGATTATGAATACTGTTGGTTGCTTCTCGAGTTTGCAAATGAACTCACCGTGTTACTGAGGGTTCCTGGGGACAAAGGTATATAATCTTGTGTTTGCTTTCTGTCATTATTGTATTTTTGTGGCAAGTATGATGTCTTTGTTTTGTGCAGTAATTTAAGGGTTGAGACATGTGTTTTAAATATGCATTGTGGTACGATGATTTGCTTTGTCATGTACTAATGTCCAATCTAATTTTCAGAGTAACACCATACTCTAATCCTTTGGTGTGCAGGAGAAAGATCCCTACAACAATCAATCTTTTTTTATGAAACTTGGAGAGCATACCAAGTTATAAAGTTTACACTAGGAACATTTAAAATCTTGGTTGTAGAGAAACCTAGTGCAATTCTTGAACAATCAGACATACACCTAAAATAAAAAAGCAATAAAGAGTTATCCACAATTGAACTTCATACTATAGTAAAGTAAGTATCTCAACTTGTTTATCTGATGAGATATATTTTGTTATTACCGATCTCAATTAAGAAAAGCGACATTTGGCGACCGAACGTTTATCACCTTGCCTTACCAACCTTATCTAAAAGTAAGATTGTCTAAAATAAGCTCTCTCCTTATTAGCACTGGGAAAAGACAACTAACCGGGCCTTTTCAACTTTTGGCTTGAACATGACCATTTTGTTCCATTTGTGAAAGTATTCTTTGACCTCGACTCATATCTAATAAAGAAAGAAAAGAAGAATATCAGACGTAAAAATGTAATCATATCCTCCATTGGGTTAGTAAATTATATGTGAGATTTTTAGAATTTGTACCAAGTAAAGGATTTAGTGGGCGTTTTGGACATAAGAAGTGTAAAATTCAAAAAAAAAAAAAAGTAAATTTTTTTAAAGTGAAAATGGTATTTGAAAATTAGAGTTGAATAAGTACATGAATATAATTTTGGGTTGTTTTTGAAGTTTTGTGTGATCTGAGTGAACATTTTTAAAAACAGTTTTTTGGATTTTTTCAAATTTTCGAAAAATTCAAAATTCATCTTTAAGCGAAAATTGAAAATGTTATGGCCAAACATTGATTTCGAAAAAAAGTGAAAATTTTTCGAGAAAAAGTGAATTTTTTTTAATTTCCAAATCGGCTCTTAACATCCGCATTTAACCATTTGATTTTGATTCAATGGGACACATTCTCGTCTATCATTTCATTCTCTTAAAACAACGAGCCTAAATATCTGAATTATTTACATTTAAGCACATAATGCACACAATCTGACCTCATGAAGTTCACTCTTCTTATATTGACAAAGCTTGCATGCATGTATTCAATCTTAAATCTACCTATACATTTGCTGGTTTCATCAATTAGCACGACTTGTCAGCAAAATTTTAATACAAACTAAATTTTCTTTTCAGATTTGCTAATAGTTTGGAGTCATATTAGTCTAAACTCTAAATTACACTTTCCATAATTTACAAAGTTTCTCGGAAACGCTTCAAATGGTTTTTGTAACTTTTTAAATACTAATGACAAAGTGAAAGATTTGGCGTCGTTTCATTCTTTGTTACTTAGGGCATACACTTACGTCATTAGAAAAAGAAAATAAAGAGTTAATTGCACTTTTGATCCTCCAATTATAAATAAATTTTAGTTTTGGTTCTTGTGATATTTCATAAAATATGTTTAACCTCGAATTAAATAAAATATATTGTTTTTCGTCAATTGATATATGCAATGTGTTTTAAAAATATATCATCCTTAAATATTTGTAAAAGTGTAAATTTACAAAATAGATGAGTAATTAAATAGTTTAGCAGTTAATAATTTGTTAGATTTGTGAGAAAACACAAGCACAACGATCAAAAGTATAGATTCCATCAATTGAAGGTTAATATGCTTAAGTAGATATTACAAGGACTAAATCAGAACCTATCAATATTTCAAGGACCAAACGTTAAAAATATCTCAACAGAAAAAACACAGTTTCCCTCAGCCGCAACCAAGCGACCATCCCAATTTTCTTATATCCTACGCGCTCTAGTGGAGCGTTATTCTACCGCTTCCCGCAAAGCTTTAAGCTTCCTTCCGTGGATTTCGAAGTTCAGGGGGATATTTAATTTTTCCCTCTTTATACATTCTCCTTTTCAGCTCAGTATATTCCCTTCTCTCTCTCTCTCTCTCCTCTCTCTCTCTCTCTCCTCTCTCTCTCTCTCTTTCTCACGCACAACAAACCAGTATATACATATACATATATAATCTAATATTAGGATAGATCTTCGCTGCTTAATTTATATTTGTATAAGCCTTAAGATTTTACCCTTGAAAAATGATAGTTATGCGAAGGTCTTGTGCTTCAAATTTAGATTGGAATTCTGATTTCTATAGACTTGGGTTTTATCAAAATGGAAAAGGGTCTCCGAATCTGAAATTTCAGCATTTGTTGATCAACTTTTATCCTCATCATATCAGATTAAGCCCGCATCTTCCTTTGAAGGTAATTTTGTGAAATATTGCCGTGTCTTTCTTTGTGGTTGCTGTACCTTCAAGTGGATTATTGATAGGTTGACGTTCTTGTACGTTGATATAGATCTGTAGATCAAGTGCTAGGCGTTACGGGTTATTATGTTTGCCTCCTAGGCTTCTTCAAGTTCGAGCAATGGATGGGGTAAATATTCTTCTTTTATCTTTTTTACTATTAGTTGAGCATATGTTGTAGACGTTAGCACTTTTACTTTAGGTATTATACTCTCTACGAGTGGTCAGTGACGATTCACCAACCCCAACTTGTTTGGGACTAAAGCATAGTAGTAGTTGTATACTATTCCTTTATGGTATTGTTGCTCTTTTCACTTTAGCTATGTCTGTTCTTTACCAATTTAGATATATTTTTTGATTTACTCTTCTGTTTGGTTGGGTGTTAAATGTTTTTGACAGAAAATGTTGTTTCATGAAAATTGTTTTACCTAAGAAAATCAAATATTTTAAGTCATTTTGGTCTAGACATTATGTTGGTGAAAGTATCATATTGGTGGAGGGAGGAGAGGTGTGCCCGGGATGATTATAAGTAACAAGGAATGAAAAGAAATGATTTATGTTGATAGGACAAATTGCTATGAAGTAAGAGTTGAATAGATAATCACAACAAGTAAGTTGTTTCACGTAGGAGACTATTTTCCTCAAGAAAAACCTTTTCAAAACTTTTAGCAACCAAACAATGTCTAATTGGAGTTTTACTTTGATGGGAAAATATGAAGACTGTAATTGTTAATATAGATTGGAGTGAGATTGTCAAGTGACTGCTTAAGAAAATATTTAAGCAACAAGAAGCAGCATACAAGGATGCAAGTATAAATAGGAAAAGAAACAGATTCATACTAGATCAAGGAGACACTGCACGAGTTCTCTAAGGTCAATTGAACGTAAATTGCAGATATTCTAAGCCCATTGAGTTCAATACATGTGCAGGGGCAGCATCATTTCTAAGCATCTTTTGTCTTTCTTTTCTGCCAAATGGACCATAGAGGAAGGCAAAAGGCCAAGGTCATTGCTTTGGAAAGAGCTCATAGAGCTTGAGATACTGGGGGGTTGACCAAGTCGGTGCTTAAAAAAGAGAAGGTCAATTGCCTAGATTATCCTACAAAATAGCTACAGAAGAAAATATCATTCATAGGAAAAAACTCCCAGTGAGGCATGCGTCATTAGTTGGCCAGATTTTGCCTCTTTTCGATGTCATGCGGAGTAATCAAAAATGAAAACTTAGAAAAGTGCCAAACTATGTTGGGGCTTAAAGCATAAAGTGAAATTAGAGTGCGGGTTTCGGGAAGAAAAAGATAAGAAAGATTTAAAAAAAAAAAATTAAAAATGTAATCGTAACACAAACAATAATTACTTGACAAACAAATGGAAGACACTGTAATGAAGCTATCCAGTGAACAGGATGTAAATGATGAAAATAGTATGTTTGATTTCATCAATTCACTACAGGAATCAATTTCTGTATAGATAGATAGGTGCCCCTCTTTTTGTTTTTGCACTGGGGATTTTCTGACTTGTACCTACAGAGCTCTTTCTTAGTGCTTTGCTGTTTGTTTTAATAAAGTACTTACCAGTTCAACCTTCCAAGAAAACAAAAACATATCAACCAAGTTAAAAAACTGTATTAATTTTCTGATTTTGATGAAATGATGTAGTTTTAAGTTATTAGTGGCTAGTTTTCTGATGATGTAGTTTTAAGTTATTAGTGGCCAGTTTTCTTATCCTAAATTTTAGTTTCTTATTCCTAATTGCTAAAAGTTTCGTCACAATGTTGTCAACTATATTTATTGTCTAGCATTATGTTCTTAGCGACAGAGCCTATTGGTGTAGAGACGCACAACTTAGCGCCTTAGTGCCTACGCTAAAGTGCCAACTAAGCCAGGCGAAGAGCAGCACCTTAGCTTAACCTAGATTCAGGGCTTAAGTCCGCCTTTAGTGAGCCTTTAACTATACTGTTATTATAAAACTTGTTGTGCTTGACTATGAGATTGTTATGTAACTATACCAATGCTTGAAATGAATTTAGCATAAGACGGCATTACAAAACTATAACCATTTCCTACTGCTGCCATGGAACAAACCTAATACTAGTTCAGTATCATACATATTTTTCTTTTTTGTTATGCAGGATTTTGGGTTCTCTTCACTCCATGACTGGGGAGACAATAATGGAGCAATTGATTATAGGCTCTCTGCAAGTGAAGGTGAAGAAAGCGATGGAGATATTATACTACAGCCGATCACTGATGTTGATTTGCCTACCCCCAAGGAGCAGTTTTATCCAGCCGACGACTCCATAACAGCAACTGCCCACCGGTTATCAATGCTTGGCAGAGCGTACAAGAGAAAAAAGTAAATCTGCTTGTACCCATGGAACGGGTATCTTATATCTTTCTATGCATTTTATGTGTCTCATAATTTGTTGCTATAGAACTATTGTACTGATGAGCTTAAAGGAATGAAGATTGTGTGTTTAGCATTACTCTGACCAAGTTTATTTTTTGGGAATTTTGTAAAGTTTTCTCCATTCTCACAGCGCCTTTAAAACCCATATAATGCAGGACAAAATATGGCATTCTAAACAACATAGGCCTCATAACATTCTCAGCGGTGCTTCTGTCTCTTGTGGATTGTTGTGCGTGGAAGATTGTCAGACTGCCCCTGGCTCCACTTTACCTGATGCGTCCCTTTCTCATTTCTGCAGTGGCAGTGTCTTGTGTAGGTTATGTCTGTGTCCCATTATTTCGCAGTTTTAAACTCCAATCGTTAATCAGGAAGGAGGGGCCTGCTCGGCACTCTAGTAAGAAAGGAACTCCTACTATGGGTGGACTGTATTTTGTCCCCATTGGAGTAATTGTTGCAGAAATTATTGTTGGGTTTTCTTCTCCGGAAGTTTTCGGAGCATCTGCAGCAACTTTAGTTTTTGCAGCAATTGGATTACTCGATGACTTGATAAGTATGAGGAATAATAATGTTGGCTTATCCGCTCGATTTAGAATCATATTGGAGGTGAGACCTTTTTTTGTATCCTTTCAAAATCATAAGTTTGCTCTTGCTGCTCTGGAGTTGACAGTACTCCTCTCTGGTACACAGGTAGTTGCTGGGACATTCTTCTCCTTTTGGCTGTACACGTCGGACATACCGTCACCCTACAGCATGTATACATTCTTGTAACTAATTTCATCAACCTTTTTATGATGGTAACTCACAAATCTATCTTATGTTAACAATAAGTTTTTCTCATTCAATATATTAACAAGATTTAATTCATGTATTTTCATTCCTCAAATTGATGCTTTTAAATGAACTGGATTAGTCCCTAGTGCGCCTTAGGTCCTAACAAATTTAGATCCTGAATTTTCACCCGTTGACTTGCTATCTAATTGGTGAATGTCGCATCATGAATTTTGTATCAACATCTCATAGTTGGATAAAGAACTCAGTTTCTTGCACAGCTCCTGGAACATTACAATTTAAATGTTTGAATACAGAAATATTGAATAGGGAACTCAAAGCTTATGAGGCCTTGCTTGAATCTTAGAGTTAACTGGATATTCTGCTAACATTACTGAAGAATGAAGATGCAAACATGCTTTCCTGTATATTACAACAGAAATTTCTTCTTTCTCGGCTAGTGTTAAATCCTACGTGGTATATGCATGGAAATTGGTTTCATATCATGTAAGATTAACATCTTCTATGCGTATGCAGGAAAGCAGTGGTTCCCCTACCTGCGCCTCTTGGGCTCGTATGTCTTGGAAGACTCTATCCTTTTTTAACCTCGTTTTGCTTTGTTTCCATGGCTAATGGAATTAATCTTACTGATGGTCTCGATGGATTGGCTGGAGGAACTGCCACATTGGCGTTCATTGCAATGTCGATTGCAGTGCTTCCTATATGTTCTGGTCAGTTTGTGAACTACTGATCCTTGTGGCTTTCATTGCAATTCAAGTGTACTGACTTCATTGTGTTACTCAGTTCAATGTTATTCACGGAAATTTTTGTGATGAAAAAGTTACCATTATTTTAATTTCCAAGAGAAGCAGTGTCTTGAGACTTGCATTTTCTAAATTTTCACGATTCTTGCTGAGTATGGATTTTTGTGCTTCCAAAAACAGAGCTTTCCATATTTGGAGCATCCATGGCAGGAGCCTGTGCAGGTTTTCTTCTGCACAACCGGTACAAAGCATCAATATTTATGGGTGATACAGGAGCCTTAGCCTTAGGAGGCGCACTTGCTTCTATGGCTGCTTGTACAGGGATGTTCTTTCCATTGTTCATTTCATCTGGTGTTTTTATCCTGGAAGCACTATCAGTTATACTGCAGGTAACCTATATCTATATAACCACTCTGTAATTCTTTACTCATGGATAATGCTCTTTCTCAACACTTCTGGATGAATTATCAGTTTATTTGCACATATGATATTCCTAGTGTCCCACTTTCTGATTCTGGTAACTTTATCCTTTCTGGCTTTCTTGTTCGAACTATGTAATATAGAGATGCTTCTATAATCTACTTGTGTCAATATTTAAAATTTTGGAAGAGGAACTCATTGCTCTCCTTTTGCCCCTTTCATTTTTTATTTTTGGTACTGTCATCGTTCCCCTCCCTCTCTATCAACCTACCTACCTACCCATGCAACTTAAGGTTCTTAATTTGGTTTCTCTTTCTCTTGCTCTCTCCTGGTCCTCTCCATGTACGTGCTTCTATTCATAAATGTAGTCATGGAGGGAATTAAGGAGAATTTAACTTGTGTGGAAGGCCAAACAAATTATGCCCTTTGCAATTCCAATAATTTACTTTTGCTTATTGTCTTTAGGACAAGAGAAACGAATGTGGCCTTCATATTTTGAGAAGTTTGCATCATTCTATTTAAATTTGCAACCTGATTACTTTTAGGATCTTTTACTGTACAAATGTAATTAACTAATCAAGCTGCCTTCTTCACTCTAATACGTTCGGATTAATTAGCTTGAGATGTGTTCCTTGTTCTTGAAACTCGGTTAAGGTTGAAATTTTTGCTGCTATCTTTATATATATGTAAAAATGAAATTGCTGTCTACTTGCGCATGCCACCTCCATGACCTGATTGACCTCACCTGTTTCTTAAGAAGGTTTGTTTGTATCCAATAATCTAAATTAATATGTTTGCACTTTTAAGTTCCAACTGACAGAGACTTACCTCTGTCTCAGGTTTCCTTCTTCAAGACAACAAAGTATTTTCGAGGAACTGGACGCCGCTTGTTTCGGATGGCACCCTTTCATCACCACCTTGAATTATGTGGGGTAAAAGAACCTGTCATAGTTGCTGGTGCATATGTTTTTTCTTGCATTTTAGCCTTGAGTGCCGGATATGTGGGACTCACTTCAGTATAACCAGAGGTCATGGAGCTTTGGACGCCTTTGGAATATCTGACTGCATATATTGGCAATCTGGAGACACTTCCTGCAAGTTTTCTCCTTTTTAATTTTTTTTCCCTTCAAGCTTAGAATAGACTGAGGAAACTGTTTTTCTTTTACTTTTTCCTCGTAATGTTGAAATACCGGAAAAATGGCCTTATATGTAGTATTTTGGTCACACTCTGTGACCTAAGTAGTATTAAATTGTTATCCAAATATTTGAGAATCTTAAAACTATTGTCATGCCCGATTTGTTGTGAATATATTACTAATATTCAGGACTTGAAATTCTTTTATTTAGTATATAAGAATACAGAAGGTGCTCACATTCTTATTTAGTTTTTTATTTCTTCCATTCAACTTCTAAATGATTTTCAGATTTAGTATGACCATGACCGAGCATAAGTCTAACTAGCCATAGCTCTCATCGATCATCCCCAATTGCCTTGCATCTTGAAGTGATTACCATGTGTATATTATCTTTAATTTAGGCACAAGAGGGTTATGATTCAACTTTTAGTAATACCAATAATTTGGTATTACTAAATTGGTCGAAACTATCTGCACTAGTAGGAGGTGATGTCTATGAGATACTATTACGGATTGTAGTAGCCTATATAGGAAAGAAAAATTACAAACTATGTTGGAAGTAGTTGTACCAAAAGCATCATAAACAAGTCAGTGGGAGAAACTACCACGTCTCACTACACTTAGAGTGGACAATACAATCAAATAACCCAACATCCCACCGAAACAACCCATTAATAACACCATGGATGAAGACGCTAACCCAACACATCCTATAAGGAAATGCTACTAGACAAGAAAGAAACAACTTAAACTCAATACTATGAAAATGAGCCTGGCATAACAGGAGGAGACCAAAAGGGAAAGGAAGATCTGGGCCCAATCACCCTCTCTCAAGATGATAAGAATCGCTTATATTAGCCATGCCGCTTCTCGATTATTATCAAAATCTTTAGTCGAAGAATGCCACATCACCTCATACGATCCAAACTAATAGCTATGGAATTCCTCCGAACAATTAATCTTTGATTGAGCTAGGATGAAATTTTTTTATAGTCAAATTTGGAAAAGAGGATAATATGATTAAAGCATTGCACCAAGGACCATGTTTCTTACCTAGGAACTTCCTCTCAATCAAGAGATGGAAACCAAAATTTGTCCCACAAGAGGCAATACTGTCTTTTACCGCTATATAGGTACGGTTGTCACAATTACCAAAGGAGCTTTACGACAAAGAAAAATACTGAAAAAGGTTGGGAGAAAGTTCGGATGCTCCTTAAAATAGATACGTACACGTCGGCTACCCTAAGGGATAGATACGCGTGAATTTGTATCCAAGCACCACTGGAAACGCCAGTAGAAATATCCATTACAATTGGAGATCACAAACAAGTGGTGGTATATGAAGAAAAAAGTGTCATATGCACGGGATGCGGAAGGATAGGACACACCCTAAAATCGTGTACTCATAGACAAAAATCACCAACTCCCTCCCAGGACCAACCTGAATGCTCATCATCAAGAATCAACATTGGGGGGA